AGCTTCATGAGGTTTGCATGGGCCACCTCTTGAGCCTGTCAGGGTCTCTCTGGTCAGCATCCCTGCGCTCCTGTGTGCTGTATCTACAACTACGGTTCACATCACAATTCACCACAGTGCTACTACAACTTGTACAACTGTCGTCAAAATACTGTGTAATTTCTTTTATTTGAGGAATCTAGTAAGCCACAATCATACATTGTCACAGTTTTTATCACAGTAATGCTGAATCGAGGCTCTCAGCACAAGTAGGTGTCATAAATGTCAAGACTGATAAGAAGTTGATCATCCCCTATCTGAGGAAGTAACCTTGGCTTGTTACATTTAGGTCACAAAACGTAGAATTCTTAAAGAACTAAAGGGTAATTTCTTTCAGTGGTTTAACAAAAATTATGACTATCTTGGATTTTATATTAGGTGTATGATCATACAAGTCATTAACTGAACAGAAAATAAAAATGAAACCAAGAATAAAAAATTTACAACTACTTATCTAAAGAATAAGGAAGTAAAAGGTAACAAGGGTTCACTGAAAATAAATCCTGCAGAAAAACTTGAATATGTATTATAGTTCCTCTGTGTTGGTTTTTTGTTTGTTTGTTTGTTTGTTTGTTTTCTGAGTACCAGTTTCACAATGCCATAAATAAAATATTGGAAACAAAGCTCTCCAACGATTTTCATCTGGCATGGATATTAAAGCAGACGGTGTCCTGAGCTACTTGTCTTCAGCTGAAGGGCTTGACTTTAGCTGACAAATCCAGTGGAGTACCCAGAGCTGCAGAGTATTGACAAGTAAAAGACAAGCCACAGACTCACAGAGCAGAGAAGTTCAGCTTTGGAGTGCCTGGTACTAGCTCAAAAATATAGCCAAGTGATGCAAAACATTTAAGTGACACAAACTCATTTTGGCAGCTTGAGCTTACTGAAACATTTCTGAAAGGACGACTTTTTCCTAGCAGATGGAATGCTGGTATGTGCAACGTTTCTCTGCAATCCATCATAATGTCAAAGCAAATGAGGCAATTTAAGGAACAGAGGCAAGAATTATCCGGAAGAGCTGTTTCATAGAAAAAGGTTAAAAGAGCTAAATACATCTAGTTTTGTTAAAGCAGAGATAGATGGAGGCATATCTTAAGTCAGCAAACACTTAAGTAATGTAAACCTTTAAGACGGGGAGGAAATACTTGGGCTTTTATAAATGGGAATAAGTCGTAATAAAGGAAAAGAGGATGGGGTAAGACTATCAGAAAATCTTCTTGGCAGTGAAGAGCAGGACTTGTGCACACTTTTCAGATGAAGTGATAGGAATTTTTTAAATTAAATCATTTTAAAATGAACTTGAAATATACTAATAAACAAGCTACCAGGAGTAAGTTTGTACCGACAGAAGAATGACTGAATGGTCCACATGCTTTCTCTCTTTATTTTTCTTTTTTTTTTTCCTGGTTTATTTTCAAACAATTTATCATTTTCAACATCTGCCAAAAACAAAGAGAATTTAATCCACAGTACATTCACAACAGAAATGTCAATGATAATGTAGCAGGTTGCATTTCCCACTGTGACTTTTCATCCTCCCAGATGAACTTGTGAAAAGGACCCCACAAACATTGCAGTGTCACCTTGATTTGATCGGAGTGCCTCTGCAGGAGAGACAGGCAGTTCGAACATCTGATTATCGCTGTAGGATTCTGATAGATAACCTCTTATGAATACCAGCAGCCATCGAGGTTCTGGCTTCTAACTGACTGCTCCACCACTCTCCCAAAGCCTCCTGACTCCATTGTAAAGATGGCAAGACAGAAACTGCACATCCACATTTTATCAGTTCTGGTTCTTTGCCCAAAAAAAGAGTTTAGAGTCTCAATGAAGGCAGCTTCCATGACAGTCGGAAGCTGACCTTTGGGTGTTCAGAGGAGAAATATTTTGAACTACTATCTGACTAGTCAGTTGCTGAACGTCATTGTCTCAGAACACTGTTTATTTACAGAAGTACATTTCAAAAATAATAATATTTTATATTCCATAATATTTTATTATGTTAGGTTTTTAGTAGGAGACTTGCATTAAAAAAAAAAACAAAAAACAAAACACAAAACTGTTCAATAAGCTCATATAATACTGTGATATCCAAATGTTTGTATTTGTATGCCCAACACACATCAACCACGCAGCTTGGAGAGCCTCAAACTTGTACAAAATAATATAAACCAGATTAGCTCAGAAATAAATTAACAGAATGTCTTTTGCTTTATCATTTACAGACATTGAACCATATTGTATTGTTTTTTTTCCACACAGAACTCTTGACTGAAAACAGTAGGAGTTCTGGATAAAGATGAAAGGAAGAATATGCACTGTGAGCTATTTGTTTTCTAAATATTTAATAATATCTTTTGAGAAAGACATTCTCTGTATAGAACAATTAAAACTGCCTGTATTTTTATGCTCTAAGATTTAAGATTCATACATACTATAATGGTAGGACTCACAGTTGTTCTCCTATTTACTTCACAGACCCTCTATTTTTTCCTTTTTTAATAACACAGTTGTTATTTCCATTTTTAAATGGAGGCAGATTTTACCATCCTTACATCTTAGTTTCATTAGAGTTCCCATTCATTTTAGAGGTGGAATGCGCTGCAGCATAAATTAGAATGAGAAAGTCTGTCTGCTCGGTTGTGCAATGTTGGGTTTAAAATAGAATTGGAAAAAGCTGACTTATTTTCCCAGAAAAGTAATGTGTACACAGTAGAAGCCTTGTTAATAAAGTAAAATCAGGATTACGCCCTGACTGTTGTTTGCCTTTCTAAGTTCTTAATTTGATTGCGTTCTTTGATTCACGTACCTGTTCCCCACAGAAGTCCACATGTGGCTCCTGCTCACAGCACTGGTCTGGCTTCGTATTTACTGTGGTTTGAGTGCTTCTGAGAAATGTTAAGAGGGACTCATGAGTTTTCAAGTCACTCATTCACATATGTGCTGCTTCAATGCAGCGGTTAAAAGAAAATGCAGTGTGAGAGATTAGTATTTACACTTAGGCCTTTAATTCAAATCAATGTCTTCTGGAAATGACCACTGTTAGTGGTGAAAAGGTTTGATCCTACACTACTGATTTTCCATTTATCTCCTCAAAAATAGACTTACCTGATGCTATGGCCATAGTTCAAGAAAACAACAATATATGTAATTTCAACGTGCCTTTGGTGTGTTCAGACAATAAAGAACAGCCTATACAACAACTGTGTAAGAACCATAATAAATGTAACTATTTTTATTTAGTCTATGCATCAGTCAGTCCCTTGGAGACTCTGGATCTACCATTCTATCCAAACCTATTATGTTGTTACGGCAGCTAAAACAGGACCTCATCATTAAGAACTTTGAACCCAATCTAAGATGTTGATCTTGTAGGGAAGTGAATTATGAAGAACACGGGTGCATGCCACACCCCTGGAGTCATGGCTCCTGCCATCACTGCTGCAAAGCACCCAATATTGCCTTCATTTGATGAACAAGCATCCTTGCATATGTAACAATACATGGTCTCTCCAATTACACATTTGCTTCCCTCATTTCACAGATCCAAAGACCACAGATGTTGTTAAAATGGATAGTGGTAAGTTCCATTCTTCCTCAGCAGATGGATGTCATTGTATTCTCACACTGACCCTCATGCTCCACCTCAGGGCGTGGTGCAGATAGGTTTGGGTTTGGAGGGATGCCCAAAGGTTACCCAGTTGGGGGCAGGAACACCTCCCACGGACCGGGCTGTCCAGGGCCCCATCCAAGTACCATGTTCAGTCCTGGGCCCCTAGCTACGTGAAAGACATCGAGGTCCTGAAGTGCATGCAGAGAAGGGCAATAAAGCTGTGAAGGATCTGGAGCGCAAACCTCATGGTGAGCAGCTGAGGGAACTGGGATTGTTCAATCCGGAAGAGGCTCAGGGGAGACCTTATTGCTCTCTACAATGACCTGAAAGGAGGTTGTAGCGAGGTAGGGCTCAGTCTCTTCTGCCAGGTCACAGCAACTGAATGAGACATTTAACACGTTAAGCTGTGCCAGGAGGGGTTCAGGTTGGATCTTAGGAAGAATTTCTTCCCAGGGGAGGTGATGCAGTGGCACAGGCTGCCCAGGCAGGTGGTGCAGTCACCGTCCCTGGAGGTGTTCCAGAACCACGTGGATGTAGCACTGAGGGATGTAGTCAGTGGGCATGGTGGGGGTGCTGGTCAGGCTAAATAATCTGAAAAGTTTTTTCCAACCTTAACGGCTCAACTAACGTTGTTACCAATGCCTGCACTGTGTGACCTAGCACAGGGAGCACTGCCTACATCCCAGCCCAGCAGCCTCCAGGATCCACCATCAGCTGGAGGACGGATGGATGCGGATGCAAGGGACACCTCGCGGGCAAAGGCGTTCGGGGCGGCTGTCGCCCGTGGGCAGCCACCGGCCCGGCCCTACCCCACCCCCCGCGGCACCAGAGAGCCCGCAAAGCACCGCAGGAAACCGCGCGACTGCAGCCCTCCTGCCGCCATTTTGAGAGCGGGCAGGAAAAATCCTCGGTGCGGTCTGCGGGGAAACAATGAGAGCAGCCCCTGAGCCTTCAGAGGGAGGGAATAGCGATGAAGAAGCGGGATTACCAACACTGCGGACAGCTAGAGCTTGCACAAAGCACAGAGTCACAGCAAAAATAACAACAGTAAGGAAAAATTAAAAAAAAAAAAAAAATAATCACACACGAAAAATAAAACCAAGCGCAGCTCGTAACCCCTCAGCAAAGGAAGAGGCGTGTTGCCCAAACTTAAAATGGCGCCGCCCTCCTCCCCTCATTGGCTCCGCCCCTCGGGGGGGTGGCGGGGCGCGTGCATGCGCGTGCCCACGCTGCGCTTCCCCCGCCTCCCGCCCCGCCTCTCTGCGCCCCTCCCATCCCCGAGCTCCTCCGCGCGCGCGCCGCGGCCCGGCCGGAGACGCGGCGGACCCGCACCGGCTGCGGCAGCGCGATGACGGCGCGGCGGGAGGCGGCGGCCGGCTCCCCCTTCCCTCAATGCGGCGGCTGGGGGGCAGCCGCGCTGCGCCTCACCCTGGCGGTGCTCCTGCACTCGGCCCGGGCCGAGAAGGAAGGTGAGTCCTTCGTTTCCCGTCTTTTCTCATCGCCGCGTCCTTCTCCTCCTCCGGCCGCGGCGGTTGTGGCTGTTAGCAGTGGGGCGGCTGAAGGAGCCCCCGGGGCCTCGCGCCGCACTCCGTGCATGTGGGGAGGGGGAGAGCCGGGAGGGTCGGCGTCGCTGACAGCGTCGGGGATGGGGCCGGGGCCGCGCTTTAAAGAGAGAGAGGAGGGGAAAAGCAAACAGAACACAACAAAAAAAAAGCGTCGAGCTGGCTGCCCCGCGGCCGGCTTCCGGCGCGGCGCCGGCCCGAGGCAAACGGGCGGCCAGAACTTGGTCGAAAGTCAAACGGGGACAGGCGGAGGAACCCCGGGGGTCGCCGTCTGGGTGCGGTGTGTCCGCGCCGTGCTGCGGGGAGGGGAAGAGCGGAGCCCCGAGCGGAACGCCGCGGCGTTGTTGAGGGTGGCTGCTTCCTGCGCTGCCGAGGTGCGGGCTCACGGAGCGCTTTGAAGCGTGGCTGTGCGGCGGGGGAGCGCGGGGCGCTGGCGGGTGGGAGGCGCGGGGCGGCTTTCCGAGCGCGGTGCTGCACTGCGGGGGGTGTGGGGAGGGTGAGAGGTGACGCGGGCGGACGGAGAGAGCGAAATGGAGTTGGGATAAAGGAAAGGAAGGGCATGGAGCTCAGCAAGGAGATAGCGAGCGTATGTATCTCCATAGCAGAACTGAGGGAAGAACCGGGTTGTTAGGATGTGCGTGTCACGATAAAGGTCAGTAAGCCTTCTTTTTCCTTCTTGTGTAGTACTCGATTTGAGTGATTGCTTACCGAATTGTTGTTACAAATACGTTGGTGTCAGCATTACGGTGATAATAAAAACAACGAATTCTGAGTCGCAAACGCTCTTGTTCATTTGGCTGTTTTCTGAGAATTCACCGTTTAGAAAGCAGTGTGAAGAAGGTGCAGCGTTTTTAGAGCGATGGGAACATGTAAGTGTGTCTGTCTGTCTCAAGGCGCTGGAATCATTCAAATACTTCAGAACTATCTATTTTTAACTCTGACTTTGATTGCATTCCTTCACATGTATGAGTATACAAGATTTGTCAGTGATGCCATACACTGATGTGATGGGACTGATGCCCTGGAAGCTGTGACAGCTTAGGCTATGGTGTGGCTTTGTTGATTTGTAGAGGAGCTGCTGCTTTTTCTCTGCAGCCTCCCTTGGCATTCCTGGGTAAACAAAGGCAATGCTAGATTCAGAGTTCGGATGGTTGTGGTTGAAATCTGTTGAGAAAGTGGAAGAATTTGCACTGATTTCCATCTGTTAATACAGTCTATTATTTAAAATGTAGACTCTTTTAGTAGTTTGCTTAAATTTACTAATAAATCACGGACTGGTGTTTTGTTTTTTGTTTTTTCTCCAAATAATCTTTCATGGATTTCTTAGAATTCCTTGATGAATTAGAATTCCCCACAAATGTAGGGCCACTGTTGAAAACTTGTCTTGAATGTTTTCTTCAGTGCAACATGTGTGTGTAACTCCAGAAGGAAGGGGAAAATGGAAATAGTCCAGTGGATTTTTAAAGCAAGACTTTTCAGGTAGTGGCTTGTGAGATCCAGTCCCCGCTGATCTTAACCAAGTGCCATTCTGCAAGGTGCAGTAATTGAGCATGGAAGAGGAAGGACCAGTCTGTACAGTGGGTAGGAGCTTGAAAGGAAACGGTAGTGCATGAGAAGGAAAGGGAGAGAAGGGTGTTTCACCCTTTGTTCAGCACTTTTCTTACTAGGTTGTGACAAGTAAAACATAGGAAGACACAGTTTAAAAAAAGAAAAACGGCCGGGGGCGGCCCCCGGGGGCTGGTTGAACCTAGCCAAAAACAGGAAGTAAAAAAATAGGAATATCATTTCAGTCCCTCAGATGTGGACATACGTGTTTCACTAGAGCTGCAGGAAGGAAGTTGTGGAGAAGAGGTAGAAGTGAGGCTGTGAATTGCTCCTGTCCTATTTCTGCTGTGCTCAGGTGAGGGTGACTGTATGAAGACACTTGGTGCATGCAGTACAAATTCTGGAAAAGGTGCTGCAGAAGAAAAAGAAATAGGAGTGGGTGCCCAGATGGGTGACAGAAATGAGAGAAGAACAAACCAGAATATCACAAAAGAGAAAAATGAAAATGGAGAACGCTTTTCCTCCTATCTTGCATATCTGTGAGGCAAAGTGTGGGGAAAGATGGAGCCAATGCACAGCAGTGTAATGCTTGTTTCATGTGTCTCAAGCAGGAGCAGCAAGATGCTCTTCGTGCAGTTCTCACAAGTGAGAAGAATCATGATGCTGATGGATCTCAGATTGACGTGACTGCTTCTGGTCCCCAGTCTTAGTTAAGGAGTTTGTGGAAAATAAACAGCTTTGCCATTTGTCTATGAATGAAAAGCAAAACTCAAATCCTTTGTGTATACAGACTGTAAATCAAACTCATGGGGAAGAAAGTGATATTTCTCTGTGTGCTCTCTGTGCTAGAGAAGTACCATGTTAGAAGTACGTGGGAAAAATGTGAGAGCAGAGCAAACTGTATGTAGGCTGGCCAGAAAGCTCAAACATCAATTTCAGATTAAACAGTGACATGCTATTTCTTATTTCTTAGTCTAGCTGGGCCATTAGTGCCTGTATATGAATGAATAAGACTGAGTAGAAAGTTAAAGTTGTTTTGTTTGTTTTTGTCATTTGGGAAATCTGTGAACCCACAGCAAAAGAATGACAAGAAGAAAATTGCGCATTTGGTTTCAAAGAGGCTCCTGCTATTTGGGAGGAGCAAAAATATAATGTAAGAGTTTCTTTTACAAGTATGTTTTCAGGCTTTTTGTAGAACACTCTTCCTTTCCTAGTATAATTACCGCATTCTGTGTTGCCACATGGTTTGAGGACAACTTTCAGTTTTTATTTGAGTGTGCAGTTTTTGTTGTCTTGGTGGAGCGGAATGCACGGTATCCTTCTCAAGTTGGAGGAAGCCATAATAGTACTATAAACCCTGTAGTCAGGATTATGTTTTGAAGACAGATGCTTTCTATGAGTGTGCTGTTGAGCCTGAGGATTCTCTTGTGTTTGTTTCTTTGTTCCTATTTCATTTGTAACTTCCTAAAAATTATTTATCTTACACTACAGCAACTTTAAAAAATTGTGCTGCTTTTTATTTGGTCAGCTGGCTGAAGGCCTGCTGACACTATTTGTGTAGCTTTTATCTATTCACCTTTCAAAATCAGTACAGGTAGAGAGCCCGAGAGAGCCTGAATGTCTTTGCGAGTCCTGGGAGCTCTCTACAACCTCAAAGGAAGTTGTAGTGAGGTGGAGGTCAGCCTCTTTTCCCAGGTAAATAGTGGTAGACAAAGAGGTGGTGGCCTGAAGTTAGGCAAGGGGACTAGTTCAGGTGAAATATTAGGACAAATTTTGTCTCACAAAGAGCAGTGATGCAGTGGCACAGGCTGCCCAGGGAGGTGGTGCAGTCACTGTCCCTGGAGGTTTTCCAGAACCATGTGGATGTGGCACTGAGGGACGTGGGCAGTGGGCATGGTGGGGGTGGGCTGATGGTTGGACTGGGTGATCTGAGAGGTCTTTTCCAACTCTGGTCATTCTACGATTGACATTTCGACTAGATTTAATCTCTAGGTGTAATTTTTAAAATTTATATCTTAGTGTGGAATCTGGGAGAAAATTCGATTTTAACATTCAAGATTTGATGGTATAAATGATAAGTTTTTATTTTTTTAACCAAAGCTTGACGTATTTTCTACTAACGTCCTAGAAACTAAGATAACTACTGAGTGTAAGTAGTGTAAATGGTAGCTGATGTAGTAATGAAAGATCTGAAGGGAGATTTTAAAACAGTGCACTTGGTTGCTGAGCTTTTTGTTCTGGTTTTGTCGTTGGCTTATCTCAGACAAATAGCTTTTCTTTTGCTAATATCTAAAATGGCAACCCAGGATACTTCATGTGAGTAAAACTAAGCTAATGCTGGAAGTTGATGTGGGAGAAAGCTTACATGCTTACAATCAGGTAACAAACTCTTCCCATACGCTGCTCGTTTCTCATATCCTACTGTCAGAATTAATATAAGCTTATAGCCGCTGATATTAATACTCATGTTTTGACCCTGACACAAATCAAAATGTGATCCAGAAAGAATGACCTCGGTCAGGCTGTGAACACACAGTTTGTAATAGATGGAGTAGTAGCATGTTAAGCATGAGGAAAGCACAGTGAGGATAAAAATTGACCATACTGTCTCACTGTGTTTTTGAAACTAAGTATAGGAGAGTTACTCGGATTTTCTTTGCTTTCTTGAATGATAAATATTAACCACATGCTTGGATTGAAAGATCTCATGCTCATTTGCAGAATGTTTGGGCTAAATTAAATGTAAGCAAGCATTGTCATTCAGTGAACAGGAAGCTGAGACCTCATGTTCTCCATGGCTTTGTGTTATCTTGAAATAATTGTTTTTCTTCCTCTGCGTCTCTTTATCCTTTACAGGTGTCCGGTTTTATTGCTTGCATGAGGCAAGCTGAGGTGTCCTTGCCTGTGGAGATGGTTCAACTCCTGATAGAAATTACTGTTATTTGTATGGTACCCAGCATGATGAAGCCCCTCCAGACTTTGTAGCAGTCCATAGGCGTTGATTAGCTTAACGCTTTTGTAGTGATTTTTGTGTTTGATTGCCAGCATTGCAATACAAGTTACTTTGAGTCATTTGTAAACACTTCTGCATTCTAAAATTGCAACTGTTTGCAATTAAGCTTGCACATTTTCTGTATATCACTTTATATCAAAACCTAGCCAGTTTAGTTCTCCTTCAAGCTGTGTGTACTATGACTCTGTGTGTGATCTAAGTTTACAAGGGTAAGGAGGGAAGATTTGGGCTGGATGTCAGGGGGAAGTTCTTTGCAGAGAGAGTGGTGAGGTGCTGGAACAGGCTGCCCAGAGAGGTTGTGGATGCCCCGTCCCTGGAGGTGTTCAAGGCCAGGTTGGATGGGGCCCTG